ATGGATGACTAATACTTTCACGACCTAGTACATGATATCATGCGTCAATATTCTGGAGGTCTTATCAAATCAATGTATAAATGAATGAATTAACCTGCTAACTTCATCTTCGTTGCAACAATATATGTATATCACATTGATACAATAAAATACTCCCTCTGTTCCAAAATAAGTGCGCGAGTTTGAGGAGGGTAGACATGACGCGTCCTTAAATTTAGATGATTTTTTGAATATGTGGTGTCACTTGCCTAGAGTCGAAATACTTCGTTCAGATTGACTCTTCAGATAGGGGAAGCCGAGAGCTCTCGGCTGATGTGTTAATGAGGGGGAGTTATCAAGTGATGTGGCCATTTCCAGCGTTCAAAAATTCCATACTAAATTTGATATAAAACGGAACCTTATCACTGCACGTCTGTTGTGGCATCCTAATGAGCTTACCAAAAGATCGGTCACTAAAGCTCTTGTTCAACATATTCATCGTCCACAAGTACTCGTCCATATTTATGGCATATACTACTCAAAGGTAATAAAATACTCATTACTGGCAATAAATCGATTTTGACTGTTCCTTTGATATCATGGACTGGTTCAAAAGTCCCGCCCAACCGCGTCGTTCAAAGCACGGTAGAGCCATGGCCAATACCAGGTTCACGAAAAACCGGTTGTGTCTGCAACCGAAAAACTCATGGCTATGGTGAAGCGCACTGTTGAAGCTTGGAAGGGCATGCCATGTGAACTCATGACTCGCTCAAGTGAAAAAATGCGCTGCCACACACGCCTGTCAGGCAGCTTTTCACTTGATATAAGTCATATTAGAAATATTTTGGACTTCAAAAGATTTTCCTATGTGTTGCAGCATCGTCGTGGTCGCGGTTGTGTTTTTTTAGTAACAATCATCTTGGAGTATGACAGGTCAATGCAATCGCAGTTTGAATATAAATGCTGTCCATTGTGGTCGAGGGTATTTTTCTTGCCAACACATATTTCAAGAATATTTGTACAGCCACCTGGGACATGATGTCGCTCACTGCACAATGTGGCAAGCTTTCGTGATTGGAGTCCTCCTGGCTACGACGGGCGCCGCGGGCGTGTACTGTCTCTATCGAGTCAAGGCCCCAGTCCATGAACTGTATCAGCCATCGCCATCCAAATTCCTCTTGGGCTATCGAGCGTTCCTTGCTGTGTTGTGTGGTGTGGCGCTGTTTGGCTACAACGCACTACCGCGTGCGTGGCTTAAGTACACCGTGTGGAACCTGACGCTCCAGTTCATCTACTTGGTGTGGGCGACGGTGCATCAATGGTGCGGCAATCCCATCAACCCGCGAAAGCCGCGCGCTCAACGCGCTCTTTGATGTGTGCTTCACCGTGAGTTTTCTCGTGTGTGCCATGTATTGGGCCGTCGTGTACCCATCCCGAGTCGACAAGGTGATCCGGCTCAAAAGGGTGTTTCAGCACGGCATCAACTGCATCGTCCTCATCGGCGAGTTCGTCCTCAACGGGTTCGTTGTGCGGAAAGCGTCCCTCGGGCTCATTGTGATCTTGCCCGTGCTCTACGCGACGTTTGCCTGGATTAGCCACGAAACGTGGAACTACGGGCTGTGGCCGTACAAATTTCTCGACATTTCTAGCCACGCGTCTCCCGTGTGGTACGTTGGAACGTTTCTTAGCCATCCGTTGCTGCTCTCGGCGCCATCAGTTTGTCGAATCTCAAGTCGCGCTCCCGCCCCGCTCTCGACCCTGTCGCGAACGACCCCGACCTTGTCGCAAACGAGAATGCAGCGTAATAACAAGTACAAAACGATCCCGCGCATCAACCTGCCTCGTTCACTTCCCCATAACGTCGATGGTTCGCAGCAACAACCACGCACTAGCTCCTCCTGCTGCTGCTGCGCGGGTTCTTCATTACGTGTTGTTGGTAGTCTGCTTTACTCTCAAGTAGACTCCAACAAGCGGTGTACGGCACCTCCACGGCCGATGTGTCGCGCGGCCACGATGCAGGCCTGCATGAGTCACTTGGACGGCTACTTATATGGGCGGACTCGGTAGTGCCTCCGTCATGCAACGCAGCCAGTGCATGGCAGACCAACGACGTTTACCAGACGCAGTACTCACCCCGCTGTACGCAGTACACGTGGGCTCGTGGCATCGGACGCCCTTCCTGCCGCATCTTCGTGTCTTCGAAGAGACCACGTTCGGGTACTTGCATGGCTGTGCACGTTGTAATGGGTCCTCAGCTCTCGCGAGGTGTCTAGCAGGACGGTTGTTACGTGAGCGAGTGCTACAAAGTGACGGCTCAACAAATCCCGACAAACGCCGCGTTTTACATCCGATGGGCAATCCAGTACGTCACGGCCGTGGTGCCGATTGTAGCTGTGGAGTGGTGCGTCGCGATTGTGGCGAGTAGGGGCTACGTGGATGGCCAAATCATGATGAAATTCAATCGTGTGATGGGTCAAGTGTGGATGGGGCGTCGCTCACAACTGTGTGCATCTACTCGACAGCGTGCTGCATTTCGTCCGACCCGACATGCACCAGGGGTTGACTGAATTCATGTCGGGTCCCTCCATGCGTGGATCACGATGCTGTCCATTGGGAACATGGGCTGGGTCGTGTACATTTTGAACGAAGTCTTCTCGGTGGCGATTCGCGACGCCCCATACGCGAGGAAGGCCCGAGCGGATGGTCGGAACATGGTACTCGTTTGTCCAGCACCCGTGACGGTCTATCGCACATGCCTCGTGGACGCAGTCGACTCAGCTGGTCAAAGTTGGGTGTTTGCCATCGGATGCGTTCATCAAGTCATTGGGCTGCTCGGATTCGCTTGCGCGTGCTCCGTGGTGTGTTTTATTGTGGGCCGTGTGTTGTTTTTTGCACGACAGAGCTCCTGAGTCGTCCGCTCATCGTCGCTGCTGCTTGCTCCAGCGTTCTCGGATCGCTGACACTTGTTCCACTTGGATCGTGCGTCGACCATCCTGGGTGGACTCTATTCCTTTCGAACTCGGAACGGCGCCTTTGTCGTGCTCGATACGAAAAGGCGGAATGTGCTTTGAACGACGTCACAGGAACGCACCCCCCGCGACACCGCCGCCGTCGCATCCTGCGCCTTTGCCAACTCGATCCCAGTTGTAGATGACTTGTGGTTTGGTCCCCAGGGCACTCGAATCGAATGCTGGAAGAACTTGTTGTGCTACTGCTGGTCTCGAGCGTAGATTCACGGCAGACCGCAGCGGACGAAGCGATATCTCGGCGTCAAAACAAACACAATAACGAGAATCAAGACGAATGAGGTGCCGCAGAGTGCATGAACATCATCAAGTCGGCAACCCCGTCGTACATGCCGCTTGAATTGAGGGGCGGAAAAAGACTCAGAGTGTGCCGTATCCACCGACTTCCTTGTGCTCTTGCCATCGATGGTTCTATGGCTAACTACACTTGGGATTCGGTCCAAGCCAAAGATCGCGACTCCTTGCACTCTATGACCGAGCTGACACATCTCTCACAACGACTCGACCATGATGGAGTCACGACTCGGCAGAAAGTGTACTGTGTGGGCTCTATCGACACCAGGACCCTCCTCCCGAATCCATGACAACAAATGCGCCGACTTCGGCTGGTTGACAACAAGATGGCAGTCGCTTGGGACTCGGGCGAACTTGCCATTCACACGATCAGCTTAACGTGTCTCTGGAGGAGGCTGAAAGGATGGCAGGCATGGAGTTGTAACAAGGAGGTGGGTCGGACCAAATGTTGTTGGGGATGCGCTCAGTTCGTGAGGAGGCGGGCATCGTCCACCGCTCGTTGTTTTATGTAGTTTTGTCCAAGCTACAGCACTTCTAACTCCACGACAAAGCGTGTGCGTGGAGGGTCCACTGCGTCGCATTCCAAAGTTGCGGCGGCAAGCTCTCGGTCGAGATGAACGGCCAGCATTCAAACACTGGAGCGCGTTGAACGGGCGGTCCGGCCAAGCCCGCGACGATTGCATTTACTTCATTCGATAATGGCTCGGGATACGCCAGCAGCACGGCATTTCCCAGCGCTTGCTGCGAGTGGAGCGCCGACGGGAGCTGCGCCAGCGGAACATCGAGGAGCGAAACAACGGAGGGACTCAGGGCAAACCGTGGCGGCATGTACGTCCCCGTCGTGATGATGGCAGCGTACGAAGGAATCGTAGAGTGTGCAGCAGTGCACATGGGATTCGCGCCAGCGCTTCCACCTGACGCAAGGAGGAGAGGTAGGAGCCCGCCCTGATGCAGCACACCGAACCACAGCCCCAGCGACACGTTGAAGACGAGCCACACGACTTGGACGACGCGATGGCTGCTTCCGAGGGGCGCGACAAGCGTTAGCGGAAGCAGCACCGGCAGCAAAAAGCGGGCTTCTTGGTGTGGGGCCATCGACAGCGCGGACACTGGAACGATGACTGCGGCGGCGCACACGATCTGGAACGTTGTCATTTTGTGTGGGAATCGTACCACTTGGTATAGAAACACCAGCGCGAGCGGGCCAAAGAGCAACGGCATGTTGACAACCCAGTGGTTCGTGCGAGGGTGCAGCCCATGCTCGGCCAGATGCGTCGGGTCCAAGTTGTAGATCAAATTGTTCCAAGGGGCCACGACCCACGCCGTCCGAGGCGATGAAAGTCGTCCACCGTGGAAGTACAACGTGTCCAGCAACGCGACCGCCACACTTGCGATTGCAAACGAAACTACGCCGACGACAGCCGTGTGAACCACCCCGCCCAAGCGTTGTGCCATCGAAGCCACTGCCTGGTGCGTCTGCATGGAGTTCGCCCGCGCCTTCTTCGACGCCGTCAGCTGCAGGTCTCTGTCGTTGTCCCATACTAGATACAACCCCAGCGGCAAAAAGAAGAAAATGAAGGTAAACCGCGCAAATGTCCCAAGTGCCAGTGTCAGCCCCAGCAGCGCCGTGCGCAGCGTGCTCGCCGGTCGATGGAACAGCACGAAGAAGCTCGCGACGACTAAAAGCGACTCCATTGTGTTGGAAAACGGTCGTGTGAGAAAGATCCAAGTTGTCCACGACGTCGAGAAGGCAAAGAGCGGCCCCCACGGATCGATTCGCAGCACTCGCCGGCACAGCATTGCAATCGTCGCGTCGTACGCGAACGAGAGCGCAAGGAGAACGAGACGAGGGAGGAGAAGGAATGCCATGCCATTTGCGTCAAGTCCCAGCCATTTCCACAGCGCGTACGGCAGTCCGGCGACGAGGGACGGAAATAACACGGACCGATTTGGAAGCGGTAGCTTGTACTCCCACGGAATGAAAGCGTGGGGCACACCAAACACGGACTTGGCCATGACCTCTGGGCACTGGAAGAACTCATCAGGGTGCACCATTCCCATGGAAACCACACAAAGGACCCGCAGGGCGACACCGCCATAGTAGCCGCACCGCAGCATCGCCGCCTACGTTACCAGCGCCGAAATTCTACGGATGATAATAAATTTATCCGTAAGCTACGTTCCTGTAACAAAAAATGACCTCATCTCCAAGTGCGCCGACGCCACCGCCAGCTCCAGCAGCGCCTTCGGTGAAGTCTCCAACTGTTCCAACATCTGGATCGACCGCAGATGGGATGCGTGCACTGCAAGAAGCGCAGCGAAAGCTGGAGGAGAGTTTGGCAAAGGTTGAGAACCAGATCCGAGATAACGAAGCAAGCTATCTCGAGGACACGGCGCACGGCAACATCATTCGAGGCTGGGACGGATATGCTGACATGCGAGGGAAGAAGGACGCGCTGGTGAAGAAAGTTCGCCCATACACCGACAACGAGAAACTCTTTTCTACGTCGAGTGTGCACACGGGGGCGAAATCTGTTGCTGTGTCGACCAGTTCCGCAGCGACAGCGACGGCAGATCAAGGAGACGACGCCGACACGAACGACACGGGCACCGACGAACCAAAACGATCCAAGAAGAAAGCAGCAGCATCGGCGACTGCTGAAGGCGGTCGGAGAGCTGTGCCTGGGAAGACTCCGACCACCGTGAAGAAGTCCAAGAAGCGCAAGCTCATGGACGACGACTTCGACGAGCTAGATGATGCGATATAATCAACTTATTCAAAAGCATGTTCAAGCCAGCGCGGTGGAGCCATGTGCAGTCGACAATTTGAGCTACAGCTCTGGACGCCATCGCGTGGTGCAACAAACTCGAGAGCTCGCGCCGATGTTGCTACAACTTGATCCATAGGTGGGCCGTCCGTGGATTCAAACCAAGCCTTGGCTCAAATACGACCTGGGCACGACTCTTCACAAGTTCTTTTCGAAGCGACATGCTCTCCATGGACAAAGCAGCTCCAACCTAACCTTCCCTGTCACTGACGCGACTTGTCGTGGCTGGAGTTGTCGGGGCTGCCTCAGCCGCATCAACAAGTGCGCCATGCGCGGCTTTGTGAGGCTGAACAGGAAGCAGAATCGGCAGCTTCAAGTTGGCCGATTCGTTTGTGGAACATATCGCGTACGACGTCGATCCCCTGCATTGCGAGAGCAGTTCACAAAGTACTCTCGCGTGCATCCCGCATGCCAAAGCAAGTCCACCCCGCGCGGCGACACCATCCACACACAACACACACACAACGTACATTACGTTTTCATACGCCACCACGTCATTCAACGTGACGCCGCCGCCACGACTTGGTCGACCACGGACAAGTACTCGCGCGCAAACCCTGGACGAAAGTGGTTCGAATCCTTCATGATCGGCTCGCCTTTCGGATTCACGACTTCGCACACGTCGTGCCAGCACTGGTTGTCTGAATAGTCGATGAGGGTCGCGCCGGACGCGGCGATCGCACTCTCCACCTTGTCCAGGAGGTCCTTGTGGGCCAACCGAAAGGCAGATCGGGAGATAGGTCGCACGTCGCCGACGCGAGATCCCTGCTTCATGTTGTTTGGGTCGAAGCTCGGGCCTTCGGGGTTGGCCGTTGCAACAAACACGTGGATGCCGAGGCCACGGAGTTGGGTCATTTGCTCCTGGAACACGCGCAAGATCTCGACCACGTCGTTGGGGCTCTGGTACTCGCACTTGTCTACGTAGCCCGGAACGCAGCAGCGCGGATTCTCGTGCAACGGGTCTGTGTCGGCGCCGCCAGGCCGAAGGAATTGTGGCCAGTTCATGCTGTGAAACACGACCTTGGGCATGATTGTCTGGATCATGTTCATGTTGAACGGGTGGAACGCTGGGATACATGACAGGGCAGGTGTGCCGTCGTGGGTCTTGAAAACCATCGTGGGAAACGGCTTGCCGGCGGCACGGGCGTCTTGAAATAGTTTGTAAAATCGAGGCTTGATTTGATCGAGGTGCGAGTCGCCGAGCCCGACAATCACCGTCGCTTGGCCGGGATTTAGGACCTTGGCATGGTCGTCGTGCCCGTACGGAGAACCCTCCGGCACGCTTTCGAACCCGACGTCCGGATTCCACTCGCCAGCGGCTTGGACGAGCTTGATATACGTGGGTTGCTCGATACGCGGGCCACGGCTTGAGTTGGGCACTTCATCCCCACCACGAGCGACGTCCGCCACAGTTTGACTCGTCGCGACGACACTCGCGCTACTAGTCGCTACCGCTGCAGTGGTTGCTTGGACGTCCCCTGCTGCCGCCTTCACCTCTTCCACCATGGTTGTCGACGGCTCGGTCGCAACTGCCATGATCGCCCCCACGTCGACGGGCACGGCCCCTGCATTCGCCTCGGGGCGGTTTGCAGCCGAGAGAACGATGTCAATCTCGCGCTGGGTAAACGAGAACGGCTTGGGGTTTGCACACACGATCGCCGACAGAATGCACAACGCCACCATGCACAGTACCAGAGCAGGCAGGACTTTCTTCGACCTGTTATGGCGCAGGGGGTTTTCGACGTTCGCCACCGTCGCGATGCTCAAGGCAAACGATAGTGCAACCATCGCGACTGGGGTCATGTAAAACGGCCGAAAGTCCGCGTTCGGGTACCGCTCCTTGGCAAACACGAGAAGTGGCCAGTGCCACAGGTACAAGCCGTACGAGATCTTGCCGATGTACACAAAGGGGCTAGCCGACAGCACGCGCGCGTTGAGAAGCGTATGGGGGCCCGCTGCGATCAACAGCGATGCCGCTAGAGTCGGCAGCATCGCCCAAAAGCCTGGAAACGCGCTGGATTCGTCAAGCGACGCAAATGCAATCAAGAGCAGCGCCGCGCCCGACCCAGACATGATGTGTGGCTTGGCGCCGTCGTTGGTCGACATGAGCTGCGGGAACTTGGCATGGTGGAGAAAGGCCAAAACGGACCCCGCACCCATCTGCCAGAACCTCGCGAGAGGAAAGTAAAACGCCCACTTGTTCGACCCGTTCACATTCAGTAGCGCAAGGTTGACGATGAAGCTCGCGGCCAAAATCGACACTTGTACCCACAACGCCTTGATCGGTCGCTGTTTGACCACGCACGCCACCACGAACGGCCAGATAAAGTAAAACTGCTCCTCCACCCCGAGCGACCACAAATGCAAGAGTGGGTTCTCCTTGATGTCGGCGTCCCAGTACCCCCGTTCGAGTCCCACGAGCTGCAAGTTGGCCCCGAACAACGTTCCAGCTAACATCGTCGCCGCCAGCGACTTGAGCTTGCCCGCCAGCAAATACAAACACCCAAGCCACAGCGTCGTGGAGAGCACAACGATCATGGTCGGGAAGATGCGGCGCACACGGCGCGCGTAAAAGTTGCCATACGTGAACTTGCCGTTGGCCATTTCCTTGAACAAGATGCTCGAGATGAGGTACCCGGAGATGACAAAGAACACATCAACCCCGACAAAGCCACTGGGGAACCGGTCAGGATACGCGTGAAACAGCAGCACCGGCACGATGGCCACCGTGCGAAGGCCGTCGATGTCCGGGCGGTACGTAATGGGGGCCTTTGGGGGCTTCTTGACGGCATCTTCCGCGTTCGCGTGCGATGATTCAAGGTCGACATGGGACGAGCCCCCGTCATAGGACGCAACGATCAACTCGGCCGCATCCGGGTCGAGTGGGGTAGGGACAGACATCGTTTTGTGGGTTTTCTCCGTGCTGGAATTGCCGCGGCGACAAACGCTGGTGGGAAGGTAGCGAATTGAGCTCTGATGGCGATGGAGCGGAGGCAGTTGATTGCCCAACCACACAGCTAAAGTTAGCAGTCGTTTCTGCCTTCGAATAGACTTCACTTTGCGCATAATTATAGCCGGCGTTTTGCGACCTCGCCAGCACGTAGGGAGCAACGGATAGAGTATTTGCAAACAAGTTGTGGGCGAACTCTCAATGTGTCGGCGAAAGTGCTCGTCACAGGCTGCACATGAAGGTGAGGTCAGCCAACGTAAACCATCCCTTGGGTCGGGCTGCCACGCAAGCAGCACCACCATGAAGAACCCCCGCGGTCGGTCGCAATATCTCCATGATTCTTCTAGTGAGCAGGAGTAGTGGAGCCATGCGGGGAGCATGGCAGCGCATGGATAGGCCGTTTTTGGATCGACCATACACGAGCGCCTCTGCATGGGAATGATGAGCGCTACTGCGAGCAATCGACACCGTCACGCTGGCCACCGTCAGTGTGACCCCATCAACAGCCGACCGACCGCCTGTTGGTTGATGTGTTGGCGTAAGTTGGGGAGTGCATACCTGGCCTTAATGCATATGCAGGGTCAACCTCCATGTCAACCACAGACTCATTCGAAGCTTCCTCATGGTGTTCATGTCGGCGCTCCACGACGCATCTTGGAAATAAGCATCAGGGCGCCCCGTGCCAGTGTGTTTCGCTGAGGGACGGCAATCGCCGGTCGGTGTCGCAACGTGAAACGACTGACGTTTTCACGTCGGTTGCCTAGTGAGAGGTTGCGCAGTGTTCGCTTTGGGCCGCGCAAGCGTGTGGTGAGGTTGGCAAAGTCCATTTGCAACTCCGGCCTCTCCAACGACAGTGTTCGTCCAAATGGACAAAGACGCCATTGCAGTTGCTGTGATTCCGATCGACAAAATCACCGCCAACCACGAATGTCGAAGGGCAAGGAATCGTTGATTCACATGGTTTGAACAAGATAGGCGCCCCCTCCGACCACGGGATAAACTCCTGAAGTCAACGCCACATGCCACGTCATGAAGGACTGACCTGGCGCCGACAGCCTCCACACCATTGCGATCGTTCCCGCCGTCCTCTTCTTTCATGCATACCCCCACCTTCTCCGCCCCAATGACGACGAGCTTCAACTCGGTGGCTCGGAACAATGAATTTGGCATGCCGTTCAACTCTCATGGCTGTGGCACCTTGCAAATGTAATATACTCCGACTAGTATAGAGGAAGGTGTGGACGTTTTATTGTTTACCGTCATGGTCATTTTTGTTAAACCTCAACATATTGGCGTTAATCTACCTGACTGTGAGTTCCTTTTTCAGGGAAAATAGGTAAAACTGACACGAATTCCGATTGCATTAGGAAATCCGCAATGAAAATTGAATGCATACAAACATCAAGATATCCGTGTGGGTCAAGATGTACCTGATATCAACCCTGTTCTATTATTCCTATTATATTGAAACGTCAAGGAGTTTCAAATACTACAATTATTAGACTTTGAACGGAGTATTCATTGGCATACATGTTTGAAGTTTAACGACACGTGGTGTCATGGGCAACCCGTGTCGTGAAAGGGTGGAAATCAGGACCTCAATTATGTGTAGGTCGTCGAGAACGGACATGTTGAAGCCATTTTCTACATATCCCCATCACCAAACTCGAATTGAAGGACAGGTGCACCTCATATAGAGTGTTTTCATGCTGCAGAATTCAACGCTACAGGGAACGACGGAAATCCTTCCCCCGTGGTGCTCGACCATACTTCTGGAATTTTAATATGGGTATTTCTCAAGATCCTCCACCGAGTGGAAATATTTCTCACGATCGTCCAAGTTGACTGTTCGTGTTGTATTTTTATTCCA